TGATTAAGGAATCTGTTTCCTTTAAAAATTGTGACGTCAAGGAATTGAATGCTAGTGTGTGATATTTCATGCGTAAATTTTATTAACGGGTGTATATTATTAGCAATGTTAAATAATTCAGTAAGATTATCTTGACTAGAATTAAAAAGAATGAATCCATCATCTCTGTATATAGATAACAGTGCTAAGTTATCTTTAAAAGGAAATATATCAAGAATATTCGTTATAATTTCAAACATTCTGAAATCAGCCAGGGATGGGCTCATTGGGGCTCCCATTGGGATTCCACATGTCTGTCTGAATATCAAGTTATTAAATTCAAATTCATTATTGCATAGAATGAATTGAAGTATTCTTAAGAAGTCCTTTTTTGGTGGTAGAGGTATTTCATGTTTATTACGACATATTTTGTACCATGCTCTGTCAACTGCTTGCAGTATTTCATCGTGAGTTAAGGAATTGTACATACTAGTTATATCAAAAGTGCACATAATTATGTCATCCGGTGCCCTTATTTGTTCTATTTTGTTAATAAATGAGGTTGTGTCCTGTGTATAAGTATATAATTGGCTAACTACTGGTTTTAGGAAGTAGTCTATAAATTGACCAATTTTTTCAAGTGGACTATTGCATAATGATACAATTGGTCTCCCAGGAATATCAATATTTTTAAGGAAATCTTTGTTAGTTTTGATTTTTTCTCTATCTTCATGGTTAATTTTGTGAATTTTAGGCAACATATAGAGTCGTCCCACTCGAATGAGATATAACGAGTCCAGAACCAATCCTATATATACCAATACATATTCTTAGTATTAGATTTTATTTCATAATCTATTTTGTTCAATTCAATATTTTATCATAAATATTTGTTGTTTTTTAAGGTGTTTCGGTTAAGGTTTAACTACCAAGGCTTTTCCTCATCAGGTATCCCAAGCCTCTAACTAATAAAATAATCAGTTTCAAAAGGAAAGTTCAAAGCATCCATACGCATAGAATTTAAATATTCTGCATACAGGGATACGACACCTGGTAACTTTGTATTGATGTATTGTACTCTAAATTCAATTCCGCTCTCTCATGTTTAGAAAGATTATTTCTAACTTTGTTTATTTTTAGTCTGCATATTTCCATCTTTGTGGCAAATAGATAATTTTCTATTGTGTTGTTTGCTAAAGAGGGTTTGAATCCCGATTTGATTCTAAAAGGATGATTGGTGTCCGCATTAGATTTTTCACTAAAGTGATATTTGCATCGCATTTTTCTGCCTAGTTCGTCAAAATCTCGTAAGAGATTTTGTTTAATGTATTTTACATCAGGACTGGGAATAAATTTTAATCCCTTTGCAAGAACTAATATTTCATAATTTGTGAGATTTTCACGTGAAAACACTTCTATATAGTTTAAAGCTTTTCTTACATTTTCATGAAAGTTTTTTGTGCGTTTAAGATGGCCTTTGTTATTATTATGTATACGGAGTTTACTTTTGTATTTTATTAATCGTTTTGTCTGATCCCTTTTCCTGAGAGATCTTTTTCTATTACTCATAGTAATATATTTGTTTAAATTTCTTTTGTGACAAAACTACTTTGTTTGTTTGTATAATTATTTCAACTCTAATTGAGAGATGAAATGAATATATATAACATTCAACTCTATTTGAGAGATGAACTGTATTTTACTAATTCTACTCTATTTGAGAGATGAATTGATTTGTATTTTGTTTAAATCTATTTCAAAAATTATACATTGTATATGTAAACTCTGTTGAAGTGTTTGTTCACCTCTGCGGCAATCAATGTGTACTGCAAATATACACAAAGAATTACCACGTGCATACAAAAGTATTCAGGAAATACTGGCATCTTATTAAAACGGATTCTACAATAGGTGCTAAATTTCATAAAAACCTATCAATAGGATTCAAAAGAAACAGAAACATTGGTGAATTAGTTAAACGAACTATAAAATAATTTATCTAAACCTCACAGTTCCTACTAAACATTTAACTGTGCGGAACTAATTAATGACCATCATGTAAACAACACATGTAAACTGATATTCTTATGAGGACAAGTTTGTACTATGAAACGCGTAATTAATTCAACATTGGTTGAAAAAGTTCAGAAAACCAAAATAAAAATAAAACAAATTTAAAAGTGTAATTATTAAAAACACAATTCAAAAACTATTTAAAAAACTAAAAAAAAAAAAAAAAAAAAAAAAAAAAAAAAAAAAATTAAAGATTAAAACTTTGATAAATTAAAGAAAAAATAGTAATAATAAAAAAGAAATAAATGAAAAAACAAAACAAAAACAATAGGGGTGGTCTCTGATGAAGGTTTCCCTGGAATAAAAACATTTCCGAAATAACCCGAAACATTGCGTACATAGCACAGTATCAATGTAAGGCCAGAGATATGATTCGCACCTAAATGGGTGGATATTGGATCAATTTCTATGAAATTATGTCTAGATCTTATTTTATTGATCTCATCCGTGCATCTGATCACTTGTGATCATGGTCCCTGTTTGTGGCTGCTAAAAATTGTATCTCTGAGCTTGATACTGTGCTACATACAAACAAATATTGAAAAAAAAAAAAAAAAAAAAAAAAAAAAAAAAAAAAATAAAATTCAAACATCAAAATTCATCCTCAAAAACAAAAATCAAAAACTAAAATAAAAATAAAACCAACAATGATCATTTAAACATTTGTAACAAAACTAATACATACAAACAAATATTGAAAAAAAAAAAAAAAAAAAAATAAATAAATAAATAAAATTCAAACATCATAATTCATCCTCAAAAACAAAAATCAAAAACTAAAATAAAAATAAAACCAACAATGATCATTTCAACATTTGTAACAAAACTAATAAATATGAAATATTTGTCATAGTAATTATCTTAATTGAAATTAAAAGACAAGCTTAAATTAAAACCATATTGTAAATACAGAACTGGTCAATAGTCATTTAAAGACTTAACCAATTAAAATCTTTCTAATACTAAACCACGCCCATCTAAATAACAGTGGTCAAGGACACTATTAAAGGTTGCTGCAATTTTAAAAGCTTAAAACTTTTGAAAATTTCACTAGTTCAAGTATAACCAACGCAAAGCAACACACCATGGCTGAAAATATGGATTTTAGTATTTCCACAGAAAATCTGTACTCAGATGAAAATCTGGATTTAAACGATGACTATACTATACCTTGCAGTCAAATCCCTAACAGTCAAAAACCTAAAGATGAAATCGAAATAGCTGAAGAGGGAGTGCAAACTATTACAGAACTTAGTAGGAGAAGATATCCTCTTTTAACAATGAAAACTTTGTTGGAGTTCCAAAAGAAACACTCCATTAAATCTGGAATAATATCCGTACATTTCAATGGAAACGTAGGACCGAAGACCAACAATGATGTCAATGCAGATATAAATAAAACCTTGAAACCCGCAATAGACAATCTCCAGGATTCTATCATACAAGTGCTGAAAGAACATATTGATAAACTGAATGTAATGTTAAATAGTGCATATACTGAAACAATAGAATCTATTGGAGTTATTACGGAAAAAAGTGGTGAAGCAAGAAACCTTATAAACAGAAAGTCTAGGGAAATTAATGATGAATTCGAAAAACGTCTAAGGAACTACTCTAAAAGCTTGAAACATGAAACCAAAAAGAGTACTACTAGCAGAAGGAAACCCGATACTAAGAAGAATGGAAATGGACAAGTACTGAATGAACTAGCCAAACTGTTAGCCAAACACAAGTTTTTAGGCGGTGTTATGCAAAGTCACAGTGAAAACAATATTAAGAGTACAGTACATTTTTTTTAAAGTAACTATTTGGTGAACAAACTGGTATAAAGCAAACACATATTCATATAGTTACTAACATTTATATTGTTTGGACTCTGGAGGATAGTTGTCTCATTGGCAATCATAGTATTTCTATAAACATTACACACACAAATGTAAAATGATTTGTATAACATAATGAGTATGTGTACTAAATCTCAAGTTCACAGTAAACAACCTTGACCAAAAACTTAAACCTGTAATGGTGATGGATAGAATTTCATACAGATGGCTGGAAGGACATAATGCCTTTCTACTTTAGTAGCCAGGTCATCAAAACTCAATCAAATATAAGTAACTACTGTACACATGGTCATTTTGCATATATTGAAAATATCTAAAGTACATACAGTATCAGTGTAATGACATTAATATTCATATTACAAGTGATGTACCACGTATTTTATAAGATATTTCAGATATTGGTTAGAGTAGACATTAATGCTAATGTGCTGAGTGCTTGTGGGGGCATTTGGAGGATTAGGTATATATCCACATAAAAGTACCGGTAGTTTGAATATGAATTTTTCATGCTTGAATGACTTTTGGTTCAAGACTACACCAAAGTTCATAGTTACTATGATTGCTATAAGATAGAAGATTAACTTATTTTGGTAAGTATGTGTCCCTAAGGCTGTTCCAAACAAAAATAGGTAAAATAACATATTTTTTACAATTTTAACCCAATACCTACTTTTCCCAAAGTTTTCATATGCACATGTGGGTCAATTCAAGTTGACATTTTAGGGATAAAAATTTATCTATAAATATGCAATGGATAATTTACCGGCAATCAAGTCTTGAACAGCTAATGCCCTTTAAGAATTGAATTAATCCTGAGTACTTAAAGTGACTACTGGAGTGTGTAAATGAAGTCCAGGTCTATTGAAAAATGAACTATTGACAAGGTCTCAAAAACAAATATATTCTGGGTTCAATGAGGATACTAGGTGTAACATTTCAAGGTATTTCAAACTGTTAACACTCTTGTCTACAGCAACCAGAAAAGAAATACTAGAGGTTTGCCAAGGCAACAGAAAAACCACAGAGGTCAAAGGACCATAATGGAAATGAGCTGAAGGTTGATAGGACTACTGCAAGTAAATGACCTTTTAAACTGTACATTACCTCTTCCTGTGTGCTTGTCTGTGTGAAGACTTTATCTACTTCAAATGTCTGAGTCCGGGCTTTGTTGGCCACATATAACAATCCATCATCATCTCTATCATAATCTATAACATCATTTGCCATAGTACCACTACCATCCTCCCTGATTTTTGGCCTTACTCTACAGAACACTCTAATATTACCTAAAATGAGAAAATAATTCCATCAGCCTTTTCATGTTTCCATGCAAGTCCAAACAATAAAAGACCAAAAAATACAAACAAAAAAACGTTTGCCTCCCTAATCCAAACAAGAGTGCACACGCTGAAATGTCTCGCCTTCTTTACTAATCATTGATATTATGTTGATAGTCCTAAATATAAAGCTTTATTACAACTGTCACATAAACTTAACATTAACCAAGTAAACTAAACATTGACCAATGAACCATGAAAATGAGGTCAAGGTCAGATGAACCATGCTAGGCAGGCATGTACAGCTAACAATTCTTCCATACAACAAATATAGTTGACCTATTGCTTATAGTTTAAGAAAAACAGACGAAAACACAAAAACTTAACACTGAGCAATGAACCTTGAAAATGAGGTCAAGGTCAAATAAAACCTGCGTGACTGACATATAGATCATAAAATATTTCCATACACCAAATATAGTTGAACTATTGCATATAGTATTAGAAAAAAAGACCAAAACTCAAAAACTTAACTTTGACCACTGAACCATGAAAATGAGGTCAAGGTAAGATGACACCTGCCAGCTAGACATGTACACCTTACAATCATTCCATACACCAAATATAGCTGACCTATTGCATGCAGTATTAGAAAGAAAGACCAAAACTCAAAAACTTAACTTTGACCACTGAACCATGAAAATGAGGTCAAGGTCAGATGACACCTGCCAGCTAGACATGTACACCTTACAATCATTCCATACACCAAATATAGTAGACCTATTGCATACAGTATAAGAAAAAGAGACCAAAACACAAAAACTTAACTATAACCACTGAACCATGAAAATGAGGTCAAGGTCAGATGACACCTGCCAGTTGGACATGTACACCTTACAGTCCTTCCATACACCGAATATACTAGACCTATTGCTTATAGTATCTGAGATATGGACTTGACCACGAAAACTTAACCTTGTTCACTGATCCATGAAATGAGGTCGAGGTCAAGTGAAAACTGTCTGACGGGCATGAGGACCTTGCAAGGTACGCACATACCAAATATAGTTATCCTATTACTTATAATAAGAGAGAATTTAACATTACAAAAAATCTGAACTTTTTTTTCAAGTAGTCACTGAACCATGAAAATGAGGTCAAGGACATTGGACATGTGACTGACGGAAACTTCGTAACATGAGGCATCCATATACAAAGTATGAAGCATCCAGGTCTTCCATCTTCTAAAATATAAAGCTTTTAAGAAGTTAGCTAACGCCGCCGCCGCCGCCGGATCGCTATCCCTATGTCGAGCTTTCTGCGACAAAAGTCGCAGGCTCGACAAAAATCAGTCCTACTCTCAGAATTTTTCTTTAAAGATCAATATTTTTTTTCATTATGAAAATATCAACAAATATCATAATTCATATGAATTCTCAAGAAAAATTTCCAATAGGGAACATACTTTACATTATTGTAGTATACCCTTTATACAAATGTACTGGCCATCTTAAAATATCTCTCTAAATTACATATGAACCACCATGTACCACATTACATTTCAGATGGTTGAACAGTAGGTTTTCCTTTCATTGAAAATCATTTTACTTTAACCTCTATCAATATAACATATGTTTCTGACTAACCTTTTAGTTCTACAAGTTCATTATGGTATTTCTTCCTTAAATACATCTCTCTATGATATTTCTTCACCAATTCTTTGTTGTATTCATTTATTTCACCAATTGCTTTAGTTGTCTGTAATATGAACAGTATTTGTTTAATTTTTTTAATCAAGAATTCTATAATACTTAATAAAAGTTTAGGGGTAATACAACCATTGTTTTTGCCATTAAATTAGCAAAAAATTGTGTAGAATTTATCTTTGTTTCAAATAAAGAAATACTTGTCATGAATAAGTTTATCCTGTCCAGTATTACAATGAAAATTTCACACTGCATTGCATTGTATATAAGATAATAACCATCACTGGAAGTAAACCAATCAACTTTTCACGCCTTTTTTTCCTGTAGGGTTAATTTTCTACAACTGTCAAATTCAACGGATTATTTTTTTTAACCCTTTTTGGCATGAAACTAGATGTCACAAACAGTTTTGATGGTATTACACCTTTAAAAAACTATGTCTATGAAACTCAGCACATTTCATCTTGCTTTAAATAAAGTTATGTAGCCATAATACAGCGTCCAAAGCAACAAATAGCTTTATTTTTCAGCTGGCACAATCTATTTGTTTTCAACTGTTTTTTTTTTGTTTGTTGTTGATTAGTATTAGCACCTCAATATTCATTTACAAATTATATTGTATGAATTTCTGACTATAACTTCATATTTTTCATCATCTTCCAAATTTCTTACATATTGATGGTTTAAAAAAAATCGTGTTTGTTTTCCAAAGGATAATTAGACAACACATCAAGCAAAATTCTATGGCTGGTAGTTGTTCATCAGCCTAAATAAAGAAATTTTGACACTCCTGCCCCTCCTCATCTATATTTATTTCTGGAAAAAGTCCTGAAAACTGACTATTTCACATACCATACATTTCTAAATTTATCCTTGAAAACATACCTGTTTTGTTACATCAGTGACAGTTTTCTTTATGATTTTAGGAAACTGTTTAGCCTGTTTTTCTATCAGTATATATGACTCAGTCAGATCAGAATACAATGACCCTAATACACCGACTTTTTGACACATAACATCATACTGGTTCTGTAGGTTATGCATGGATGATTTCATGGCTTCTCTAACGTCTGCTACTGTCTTCTCCTTGTCCTCTGCTGCTGCCTGAAGAGCTACTTCTGATTCTGACTCTAGATTTGAATACTGATTCTGCCAATGTTGTACCTAAGGAGTTTAAAACATTTATTATTCAGTAGAGTCAGAAAAATATTGCATATCTATAACAAGAGGCTGTCAGATTGACAGCAAACCGGATTTTCCTGCATGAAAATGATGTTTGCAAATCTGGACCCCCCAATCAGGATCAAGTAAAAAAAAATAAATGCATTTATGTAGGGTACAGAAATTCTTCTTAAAGGTCTACAACTCAACAATGATAAAAGCTAAAATAGTGAATATCGAATTCGACCTTCATTTAGTCACAGGAAACAACATATCTAACTTTGAAAAGATTTCGTCAAAGGGTTTTCAAGTAACTGCACGGACACTGTTTGGCAGCCACCTGACTGCCCGCCCAGCATACATATTCCTTTGAAAATCCGGTTAAAAATTATTCAAATGTTAGATAGACATTTTATTTGCTTTTACATGTAAGTAATACAAATTTTATCAATTAAAACAAGATGTTTTTATTACAATCATTAGTGTCATTGCTTCAGCAATGAAAGGCCATAACTCCTGAATGGCAACAGTGAAAATCATCAATATCAATCTTGACCATTTTGTCATAAGTATAGTAACATCATATTAAATTTAAAAGAATAGGTTGGACAGTTTTCAATTAAATACATTGAAGCAAATTCAAATGATGTTTGCCAATCAATCAAGATAGAATATTCTACCCTTCCATTGAAAATTTCAGCCTTGTTTATTGCTAATGAATAAAAACAAACCTTCATAAATTTGGCATGTCCAAGGCAATTTTCTGGATTAACCTTCATCAGGAATGCTCACATCAAAAACTTATGTTCAAAAGAAAAATGATTATTAACAATTTTCAAACTGTATTAACTGAACACTGTTATATTTTCCTAACATGAACATACATTTATTTTTATACAATGCTTGGACATTGGTAAGATTTTATTGAATTATATACCTGTTCAAGTAATTGAGTATTATTGTTATGAGACAATGTCAATTTTTGTTTACACTCTTCAATCTCTAACTGGACACTGGTCAGTCTGGACTGTAAGACATCTTTGTCTTGTTGACAAGAGAGGTAAGAACTTTTCAACTGTTCTGATTCTATCTGTACTTCTACCTTCTTTATTTTAGTCACTACCTAAAAATACAAAGTGCATTATATTGGTGCTGGTAATAACATGGATAAAAATTAAAATCCCCATCCTAAGCATATGTTTTGTGTTGAAGGATAGTGGTGGAAAATATGACATTTAAAAACAATTACCAAATATCAGGTGGTAATAGGAAACAGTGGACTGCAGTCCTTTTGCACCAATTGTTATTTTTAAGATGCATCATTTGTGCCAAATATTATTTTTAAAAGAAATCAATTGTGCCAATATATGGAATTCATTTGCTTCAATTTACCTATACACAAAGAAATAGGGTCGGTAGGTTGTAATTTTTTTCTTCTACATCTATCTTATCAAGAAGTTGATTGTACAGTTGTTCAAATGTTTTTGAGTGTGAAACTGTCATGGACGTTTGTATATTAGGTTTTTGGTAATATTTCATAAATGGAACTGCAAGCACACAAGTTATTTAAGGTGGTCATTTGTTTTTTATCATTCATGGTCACAAAAACGCTTTTACAAATAGCGCTAAGTAGACCCAGACTATTTTGGGACATGTTTAAGGACAAGCTTTTTTTCGATCACAGTAAAAATTGTGAATTTTTTTCCCTTTTTTACCATAAAAAAACAGTTAGGGTCGGTCAGGCAACGATAAATAAAATTAGATTGATGCATTTAGATAACTTACATCAACCTTTAACATACCATAGTAAATTTAAAAATCAAATGCAAGGTGTTTTAGACAGCACAGCTTGCATAGTGATTTCTTTGTTTAATTTTTATTTTCACAAGTAATATGGTCGTTTTGTTGGTATTACCCCCCTACTAATCAATCTTAGCTAGAAAGTATGAATAGCTTGCGAGGCAACTTAATAAAGTTGAAGATTTCTATAAACCTACTTCTGGACTTTTTGCCTGCAGTGACATTATCTCAGCCTGATGATTCCTAACTTTCTGTGACAACTCTTGATTTTGATTTTTCAAATCACTGACTTCCTCCCTGTGTCTTGCCTGTAATTTATGTAATTCACCATTCTTTTTTGTTATCTTTTCATCAAATATTTTGATTTCTGAGTTTAGTTTGACTAGATCATCCTGCAATTGTTGTTGTTCCTGAGTACTCAGTTTGAACAGATCTGATGTCCGACTGTTTGTCCGTTTTAAGTCCTCTATTTCTTCGTGTAACTTATCATTTTCAGTCTGTAATTTATCCACTTGTTTTTCTGTGTCCGTATGACACGGCCCTGTATTATCATTTTCATGACTTTTATATAACTGTAATTCCTGGTCTAATTTATGATTTTTATCTTCCAGTCTTTCTATAACTTGTTGCAAGTCACTAACGTCACTAGAGTTATCTCCCTTAGAGGTACAAGAATGATTTTCCATTTCTGATGTAAGTGTTTCAAGTTTATTTGTGAGTGATGTTTTCTCTATCTGTAGTCTCTTGATGTCTTCTATAAGTTTAACAGATGAAGGTTGTTTATAACTGCCTGGAGGAACGCTATTCATATTACCTATAAAATCAAAATAGTGTAGTATTAATGCATTTACCTCTTTTGAAGATTGCATATAGGTTTGGAATGTCATGAATGTATCACAATTTTTTTAAAAATTCATTTCAAATATACCCAGTATCAAAAACCTAAAAGTATGTGTATCCCACATCCCTTTTCATTCATAATTACCAATCATGTTTTACATCCATCCTTTTATATGTGATTTGTTGTCTTTAAATAGTGTTTTTGGACTAGCTGTGATATAAACCAAAAATATTTATCACAAAAACATATATAGATCAGTAGCTTTTTGTACAACTAAAAATAATTGTGAGGTATACTGAATAATTCATGACTTAGCAGGGATTTTTTGAAAAAACAGCTAACAAATCTTGAAATTAGAAAAGTGGTCTGACATCTGAAATTTAACCCCCTCCCCCAAAAAAAAGGCTTAGATGGTCAGGTAAAAATTCACATATTTGACAAAAGTTAAAAGTAATAATTTTAAAACAATGTAATGCTTTTAACTCAAAGTCTGAATCTTATATAATTGTTATAATCATTTCCTAATAAATTCAATGATATACATACATTTTGAATTTGCAGTCCTATCTATAATGTAAAATGGAAAAAGAAGTTTGTTTAAGAACCTAATGAAAGTTTCTTACCTTTCTAACCAATCTGAGTGTGTTTTACAACACAAGAACAGATATATATCCATATCTTAAAACTAACATACCCCCAACTCTACAAACCAGTAATTATACACAAACATTTATATAGCAAGAGATTAGTACTCTTAAATCTCATTTGAAAGACGAAAGCATCATTTAAATCTATATTTTATTTAACAAATAGTTCAAGTGTTTAAAAAGAATGTATACTATATTGTAAGTGGAGAATAAAGTAAAAACTCCAGGTACTGTTTTCATAAACTTATCATAAATATAATTAATGTCTAAAAAAAATAGATTTTCTCACAATTTGTTGGTTTGAACAGCAATATTTATAACTTATGCCTGTATTAATATTTTTTTTTTATGATCTTCTGCCTTTTGCAGTACCACTCTCTAATAGAATCCCTATTCATTTTACTGTGTGTTGTATAAATAATATAATAAATAGGATATGCTCATTACATTTCCCCTGTAGAGTTGGTCTGTCAGACTCTACAACCCACTTGTTTTTAATAGATTTTCGGCTTTTGTCTACATTCATAGTCTGCTATATTTTTAAAAAAGTAACACATGATGAATACTGATGACAGATTTAATGCTAGTACACATCTACCTCAAGAATTTTCTGCTCCATTTTCAAGATTTTATTTTCATGTTCCATATAATCTCTACGGGATACTAATCAGACTATCAATGGCCTGGAGTTGTCCCCCATCATTTATTTACTTTCCATTTCAATAATTCGTTCCTCATGTTCCCTCACTGCTATAACAGACTATAACACTGAAGTTATTCCCCCTTAAATAATTCTACCTACAATTAATTTTCTATTCCACGTTGATGACTTGTTTTTCATGTTCCCTACTTCTCAGACTATTAACACTGAAGTTATTTCCCTTTAAATAATTCTACCTACCATTAATTTACTATTCCATGTTGATGAGTTGTTTTTCATGTCCTGCTACTACGCGACTATTCCATTATATTTTTTACCCCTGGCTTTTTTATTTTACCTACCATTAATTTTCTGTTCCATGTCAATGAGTTGTTCCTCATGTTCCTCGATAATACTTTGTAGATTACCGATGAGGTTATCTTTCTCTTGGAGTTGTGTTTCCTGACTTTTACACAGGATCTTCATCTGTTGTCGTTTTGTTATCTCCTCCTTCTCCAGACGAGATTTATAATGCTTGTTCTTATCTGTCAGAGTCTAGAATAATAAATAATAACACATTTATTTACTAAATGGTCAATTTTTTTTAATGTAGGAGTAACTAGACAACTTATATTCATAAAAAATATTAGAATATGACCACGATGGCAGTTTAAAAGAAAAATCTCAAGAAATTTAGTAGTAAGATTTCATATTCATTATGAGACTTATCATCCAAGCCTGAGCTGAATGAAACTCCTGAGGGTGACAGAACTTCCCTCTCATCCACTTTCACTCATCTTTTTTTTTTCATTATGGGTAAGACTGTTTCTAATATCAGCATATAAATAACAAGATCTCAAAAGGAGGTTACATAGGCATTTTTCTCTCCACTTTTTCCTTGAATGCAAGAAGTTTGAAGGCCAAAAGAAAATTCAACAAGAATTGTCCATAGTACACAGATGCCCCACTCACACTATCATTTTCTATGTTCAGTGGACCGTGAAATTGGGGTCAAAACTCTTAATTTGGCATTAAAATTAGAAAAATCATATCATAGGGAACATGTGTACTAAGTTTCAAATTGATTGGACTTCAACTTCATCCAAAATTACCTTGACCAAAAACTTTAACCTCAAGCGGGACAGACGGACCAACAGACGGACAAAAGGACGAACCAATGAATGGACGCAGAGACAGAAAAACATAATTACCCAGGTGGGGCATAAAAATACAAATACTAATTTTTTATGAATATCTGAAGGATGTTATTCAATAGATTTATAATACTTTTTTGATTTTTGAATTTAAGGAACAAACAAATGGCCATATCATATATATTCATTTGATGGAAAATGGTAATAGTATTCTGGAAAATACTCCAAAAATAGAACTTCTTTATCTTAGATTCAGTTTATACCTCTAGTTCAAGCTTACTTCTCATTTTCAAGCAACTAGTCATCAATACAGATACTGACCATATTTAAACAGATACGTAGTCCCATTGTGTTGTTTTTTAAACAGTTTACTCTTTTATCATATATTCTCTAATACTTTTACAGTAAAACAAATCAATTCAGTCATCTGTTCTGATTATTTGAGGCACCAGCCATCTTATTGTGGCATCATAGATACCAGGATTCAAATTTTGTACACCAGACATGTGTTTTGTCACAAAAGACCCATCAGTGAAGCTCTAATAAAAAAAGTTATAAAGGCCAAATAAAGTATAAAGTTGAAGAGTATTGAAGGGGACCTAGAATTCTCTGGAAAGTGAAAGAAAAATAATAAATTCACACCAGTGAAACAATGTTTCCTTTTTTTATATGTGGGTAAATTACCTTTATTTTAAACAACAGTTCATCTCTCTGTGTATTCCTTTCGTCCAATTCTCTCTGCAGTGCATGATATTCCACAACAGAGAAGTTTTCATTCTCTGCAACAAAATAAGAAGTTTTTATTTGATAAAAAACCCTCCCAAAATCCCAAAAAGAAATAAATGGTGCCACATTTCCACTTTTTCAAATAGTCGTAAGAGGATATCATAAGAAAGAAACTGGTTTCTAGGCAACAATAGTCATGAAAGATGGATAGATGTGTCAAAGACATAATATTTTATCAGCCACTTCATAAACAAACAACCAAATTGCCTGCTTTTTTAATTAAGCTGTTCCTAAATAATTCCAGCTTGATGTTGGCATCCAGATAGAGGTGACAGTTGTTCTCTTGAGATAGTCTAATTTCCAAATTTGATGCTTAACTTGTGTTTCAATTTTTTAAGTACCAGTCAAGTGACTGTTATCTTATGGAATATGGTCAATTTCTCAAAGATGTCTTAAGGCATCAAATTATAACGCTGTATGGTTATAAGTTTACAAAAAATTACTGTGGACACATACATAATAAATATGAATGCTTCCAGGTAAACTCCAATAGCCCCTCAACTGCTTTGAAACAAATTAAAAATATTTAATTTTACAACTAGAGAATCTAAAACATCATTAATCATTGGTTTTGTACATAATAATATATGACATAATTATAAATATTTTAGTGGGAAAGTCATGTATCATATTTCTTTTATTATCAACTTAAAAAAAAGTTAAAAAATTAAAACACGAAAAACTATTCACAAGGCACTCAAATTTCATCATGATATTAGATGTCAGAGGCGGATTTAGAGGGTTTTTCAGGGGGCCCAGGCCCCCCCCCCCCTTTTGTGGGAAAAATTTGGTTGATTATATAGGGAATCATTGAAGCATGACTGGAGGGGGCCCCCTCTTAGGCAGTCAGTGGGCCCCCCCTTATAAAAATTTCTGGATCCGCCACTGGATGTATTGGTCCAACTAAAACAGCCCCAAGCAGTAAGCAAGTTGTAGGCAAGGGCAATGATTCAGTCAAAAGTCAGGAACCTCACCTGTGGTTTTCTTATATCTTAACATTTTTGTTATCTACAGAGTATAGTGTTGATCACAGATCTTTGATTAATTTGTTTAATTTAGAACTGTTTAGACTCAGAATAATAAGATCTTGGCATACTGGAAAGACATCTATGTTTTGTTGAAGAGTAAGTTGCCCTCTAGATGTCTTTTGACTATATTTTGTTGAAGACTAAGTTGCCCTCTAGATGTCTTTTGACTATATTTTGTTGAAGACTAAGTTGCCCTCTAGATGTATTTCGACTATATTTTGTTGAAGATTTAGTTGCCCTCTAGATGTATTTTGACTATATTTTGTTGAAGACTAAGTTGCCCTCTAGATGTATTTTGACTATGTTTTGTTGAAGACTAAGTTGCCCTCTAGATGTATTTATACTATGTTTTGTTGAAAAGTAAGTTGCCCTCTAGATGTATTTATACTATGTTTTGTTGAAGACTAAGTTGCCCTCTAGATGTCTTTAGACTATATTTTGTTGAAGACTTAGTTGCCCTCTAGATGTCTTTTGACTATATTTTATTGAAGACTAAGTTGCCCTCTAGATGTCTTTTGACTATATTTTGTTGAAGACTAAGTTGCCCCCTAGATGTATTTTGACTATATTTTGTTAGACTAAGTTGCCCTCTAGATGTATTTTGACTATATTTTGTTGAAGACTAAGTTGCCCTCTAGATGTATTTATACTATGTTTTGTTGAAGAGTAAGTTGCCCTCTAGATGTATTTATACTATGTTTTGTTGAAGACTAAGTTGCCCTCTAGATGTATTTTGACTATATTTTGTTGAAGACTAAGTTGCCCTCTAGATGTATTTTGACTATATTTTGTTGAAGAGTAAGTTGCCCTCTAGATGTCTTTAGACTATATTTTGTTGAAGACTTAGTTGCCCTCTAGATGTCTTTTGACTACTGTAAATTCAGAAATTATTGCGATGTTTTTATTATTGCGAAAAATGCGACAGGGTTATAATCGCAATAATTTAAACTCGCATTTTGAAATTTTTAAAATGAATTTAACACGATTTTTCTCAATATCGCAAAAATTGAAATCGCATTTTAGTCTAAAATGACAAAATCGCAATAATAAATGCACGCAATAATTTCTGAATTTACAGTATATTTTGTTGAAGAGTAAGTTGCCCTCTAGATGTCTTTTGACTATATTTTGTTGAAGACTAAGTTGCCCCCTAGATGTATTTTGACTATATTTTGTTAGACTAAGTTGCCCTCTAGATGTATTTTGACTATATTTTGTTGAAGACTAAGTTGCCCCCTAGATGTCTTTTGACTGTATTTTGTTGAAGATTAAGTTGCCCTCTAGATGTCTTTTGACTATATTTTGTTGAAGACTTAGTTGCCCTCTAGATGTCTTTTGACTATATTTTGTTGAAAGACTAAGTTGCCCCCTAAATGTATTTTGACTATATTTTGTTGAAGACTAAGTTGCCCTCTAGATGTATTTTGACTATGTTTTGTTGAAGACTAAGTTGCCCTCTAGATGTGTTTTGACTATATTTTGTTGGAGTAAGTTGCCCTCTAGATGTATTTTGACTATATTTTGTTGAAGACTAAGTTGCCCTCTAGATGTATTTTGACTATGTTTTGTTGAAGACTAAGTTGCCCTCTATAGATGTATTTTGACTATATTTTGTTGGAGTAAGTTGCCCTCTAGATGTATTTTGACTATATTTTGTTGGACTAAGTTGCCCTCTAGATGTCTTTTGACTATATTTTGTTGGACTAAGTTGCCATCTAGATGTCTTTTGACTATATTTTGTTGGAGTAAGTTGCCCTCTAGATGTATTTCGACTATATTTTGTTGGACTTAGTTGCCCTCTAGATGTATTTTGACTATATTTTTCATGGAGTTGCTGTCTCATTGATGGATATCACATCTGTCTATTTATTCATATAGATCTGTAAATGATTGTTATTCAACTACATACAAAAATATGACCAGTTCAAAAGGTCATTTTTTTTCTGTCAAAGGTATGTTAACAACACTGAAGTTCAAAACAGTTTTTTTAAATTATTCTTATGCAAAAAAAATACCAAAGTCATGTCAATCTCACAGTCAAAACAAATTAATAGCTTTAGTAAAAAAGCTTGTTTCATACAGATCAAGATCATTGTAATTATCTTATGTAGCAGGTCAAGAGATTGATTGGTTGATTTTTGATGTTTTAACGCCACTTTCAGAACTATAGGCTTTTCATGGCTGCCAGCTTTTATGGTGGAGGAAGGAGGAGTGCCCGGAGAGAACCACCAACCTTCTGCCAGGTCAAGAGATACAAAACACTAATTTTAACTGTAACTCATCCACCAAAAAAATATCAAGTAACTGTCTGCATTCATAACGAAATTTATTTGCTATGGTAGAATGGTGGAATGACAGAAAAAAAGACAATTGTTAAACTATATGCCTCTGCCAGCTAGTGCATCATAATTGATTTTTATCTTGATATTTTTAGAATATATATATATATATATATTCAAATCTGTACTGCAACATTAATTTAATTATTTGTATACAGACATCTTATTTCATTATTCCTAGACTTATTTTAGAAGACATAATTGGAATTAGACCATCGTTTATTAGGAACCATTCCCCTAGCAATAGAACTGATAATTTTGTAATAAATCCTTCAATTTGTAGAAAAATCAATACAGAGTTATGTAATGGAAGCTGACAGATAAAGAAAGATTTTCTGTTGAACTTACAGAATTAAAAACACATCAATGGAACTTGTTTATTTGCAAAACATTTCCATTCAACAAAGCCATCAAAATAATGTTCTTGGATGAACACAACAGATATTAATACTTTCTGTGTCATGAAAAAGGGCTTCTAATGCCTTTTAATAGAATCCATTGTGTAATTAAAATTATACATTGTTGCTAAAAAAAACTAGAGGCTCTCAAGAGCCTGAGTCGCTCACCTGACTCTACTTTGGTTTTAGAAATCATGTAAAGATAGATAAAAATCATAACAGATACCCAAATAATGATTGAGGCCAAATTTGGTTTAATATAGGTCCCGTAATTTAATAAAATATCCTGGTGGCCATCTTGAACAGTAAATCGGCAACAAAGTAGCAACACTTGGTCAGAACCTCATAAGGAAAATTCATGCCATGTTTGGTTTCATTCCATTCAGTGGTACTCTAAAAGAAGACATTTGTATGTATTTCCCATAGGGTCCTATGTTAAACTAAGTCCCCCCCCCCCCCCCTTGACTGACATCTTGGATGATGGATCGGCTGCAAGGTAACAACACTTGGTCAGCACTTCATGCCATGTTTGGTTTCATTCCATTCACTGGTTCTCTAAAAGAAGACATTTGTATGTATTTCCCATAGGGTCCTATGTTAAACTAAGTCACCCACTGGCGTCCATCTTGGATGATGGACCGACTGCAAAGTAACAACACTTGGTCAGCACCTCATAAGGAACATTCATGCCATGTTTTGTTTCATTCCATTCAGTGGTTCTCTAAAAGAAGACATTTGTATGTATTTCCCATAGGGTCCTATGTTAAACTAAGTCCCCAGCTGGCGGCCATCTTGGAAGATGGATCGGCTACAAAGTAACAACACTTGGTCAGCACCTCATAAGGAACATTCATGCCATGTTTGGTTTCTTTCCATTCAGTGGTTTTCTAAAAGAAGAAGTTCAAAATGTAAAAAGTTAACGATGACGACGATGGACGCCAAGTGATGAGAAAAGCTCACTTGGCCCTGAGGATGCAACACAGGTAACCTTACAAAAGTCACCTGAATTAAGTTTTGCAATACTATTTTCAACACATTTTTTCAAATAGCACTTGATATTATTAAGTAGTAGCAAGAAAACACATTTATAAAATTACTTTGTGGATAAGATCATTTCTCTCACCTTTTCGACACCAACATTTTGATGGGAAAATGTAAACTTTCCGTAACGTTTTTACATCTTGGTGGCAACAACTATATCTAGCTGTGACAAACATTGTGTGTTTAC